TGGAATACCATCACTTAAGACGGACAGTAGCCGAACAACTACAGCTGTCGATACAGCGAACGCATTATTCCTGTAGTTTGGCTCAGTAGCTAGAATACCGTGGAAGTTTTTCTCTCTCAAAATCACAAAAATCTCGTCGGTTTAGCCAGTGTCACATTTACCCCAGTGGCGGTTGTGAACAAATTGTTGTCTATTCGGAAAACAGTGCCCCAGGAATCGGCAAGATCTACCAAAAGGTAGTTGCAACTGCCCTCACCATAGCAATAATTTTGCGGTCTTTTTTCAGAGTCTGCTTGAATCACGTGCACTCCCAACTGAGTGGAAACGTGGAATCATCACTCCCATATACAAAAAAGGTAAGCGATCTGATCCTGCCAATTACCGACCTATTGCTCTACCTCCTGCATTATCAAAATTGATGGAGTCGATAAGCGCACTGTACTGACGTGAGATTTTAAAAGTCGGCAATTACTTTCTGATGTCCAACATGGTTTCAAATGCGGAGGATCATGTCTCAATAACCTGCTTCTTGCTCGGGACTCACGGATCAAGACGGCGGATTAAGGAGTCCACTAGATGTGATTTACTTCGACTTCTCGTCAGTGTCAATCTTATAGTTCCCTGCAAAATATTGGTGTGTAGGGTATCAACGGTTTTCTGCTCACCTGGTTGGAAACTTAACTACATAACAGAACAATTAAGTAAAGGTTAGCCGGCATTCACTTCGAAAGCCTGTGCGTATCCGGTGCTGTACCGTAAGAATCCGTCCTCAGTCCATTACTCCTTTTAGTGTACATAAAAGACCTCTCTGCAAACCTTCTAGCCTTGATGCGAAAATTTTCAGGTGATGCTAAGATATGGGGAGCATATCACACAACATCCGGCCATATCTATCTCTAGAACGCTCTGGACCGGATTAATGAGTGGCCAGAAAGGAACCAGCTCCCACTGAACCCTGCAAACTGCTACCTGCTGACCACGTGCAACAGTTTCATCAATACACCCTCTGTGGCAAAGCATCCTGCAACATGTGACTAATGAACGCGACTTAGGTATCATCATAAAAGAATGTCTTGGCAATGCGCTCCAATGCACGAAAGCAACGAACGTGGTGGGCTTGAACTTGAGGCTTTTGAGACGAACTTTTGGTACCTTTGAGCAACAGCTACTGCTGTGGCTAAGTAACTCGGAGATTCGACTCCACTTTGAAAATGCAGTTCAAGCCCATCGCCCATAGTTAAGAAGAGATATTCGTCTCTTGGAGCAGCCCCACAGAAGAACCACAAAGGCCACGCTTGGACCATCCGGTCAAAGTTACAAACTGCGCTGTCGTTTACTCAGTGTGTTCTCTTCAGAATTTCGACGGTTTGGTGGAGACCTTATTCTAACATACCGGATACTAAATAAGAGCGAACCTCCATATAAATCACTGCTGGCTCTAACCACCATACAAACAGTGCGAGGCCACCACCTGAAAGTAGTAACTCAACACTCTCGTTTGCATTGCAGAATGCATGTTCACTCTCTTAGAATCCGTTCTCACTGGAATGCCCTAGCAACACATCTGATGATCACACCAAACATCGCGAAATTCAAAAGACAGTTCGACTTTCATCAAAAGGACAAAATTCGCACAATGGTATGATGAAGTGGAATCTCTAGACGACTGATATTTCATATTCTACACCGGAACACTAATTTTGATTTTACTAGCATTTGCAATCCTGTGGGTCTTGTAAAGCTGTTGCTTTTTCTCCATCAAGCATTATTGACCTATTGTACTGCTCACAGATCTCAGTGGCATAGGGATCAAGGCATCAACCATTAACCACTAGGCTTCGAGTGCTATTTCCTATCAGACTATCTCCTCCTGATGAATCCAAACCAGGAGGAAACTGGGCGTGGGGTGTCAGTGTTGTGAGCAGTAACACCCAACACCTGCACACAGAACTATTGAATTATCTCCCAACGAAAGAAGTATAGCTTTCTATAGACCTGGTTGAGAATTGGCGGCTAGTTCAACGAGACTATTGCAATTACGACGGCATGACAGCTTTGACTTTAATCCTACGTTACGAGGATACCGGTGAGGAAAGATCCCTAGACAGTAAAGCGATAAAGCAATGACGATGATGTAGAGTAAAGTAAAGAATATTTGGATACATCGAGAGACCAGTGAAGTTGAGAATTTTCCTTTTCCACGCTTTTTGCAACGCTTCCGTTCCTAACATGTACAAGCTTTCCTTTGCCTTATTCCGAATCGTATCAGTTAGCCTTGGACTAATTCAATGGTCACCTCCGACAGAATACCCTAGTAACCCAAGACCATATTCTGATGATGCATTAGTGCATATTTTCGTTTAATGTTGTTATGTACCAGAGAGATGTACACGAGTTTACATAGTGGTACTTCCATAGAACATTCATCTGGTTAAATTCTTCATCGTAGGACTTTTATGACACTGTTTGAGGCCCAAAATACCACACCGAGGATTAGGATTATGTGTTAACGACAAATCCGGACAACAGACGAGAAACCACCGAGCAGATCAAGTTGGGTTAGGAATGAGCCTTGTTACCTGAAGGAGTATCGGGTGTACCACAGGCTACCTGGACGCAGTCGTGTATGGCAACACCACAAAACCATCCGGCTCAATTGAACCTCTTGAAGGAGTGCGATAGATCAAGCTGTACTTTCGTCACTACTTCCACCTACAAGTTTCTTTACACAATTTATACCAGAGCGAAAATTAATGGAAAATCCACTTTTTGCGTTTTCTGCTTAAGGCTCACAACGTTCGTTTGAGGCAATCCGGATGCGAGTTTTATATTCGTTTTATGCTGAGTCCGGAAGAGTCCCTGTTTGGAGCATTCCAAGGATGAGCGTCCGCAGTTCATATGGATTCGTGCTCTTTCATGTTGCTGCAGATCATCTACAACCTCTCGGCGCATCTTGCAGCTTAGTGCACCGCACTACATCCAATAGATTTCCACAACAGTTGAGTTATATGCAACATAAGTTTAACGATTATCCGTTTTACAAGCACAATTATCATCAAGATGAATCATGGACAAATCGGTCCCAAAGGAATGCGCCCGATGACACTACTTGTCACGACCGTTGAATTACAGGTAGAAGTTCACACATGATCAATAGAAGTGCAGTAGATGCTCAGCAAATGTACATACAATTCTCAGCGAAACATAATGTATGAAACAGACTTGATGTATACCTCAATGACACATTCGGGTCTATTAGTCGAAAGTTAGTACTGGCTATTGGTTGCTTTTAATTGACAGTACCAGCAGATGGTACTTATCTGAGACCCCAGCTAACATTTCGTTACCGTATATATCCGTCAAGTAATTAGCATGTATCACGGTCACTTATATCCTGATCCCCTTTAAGGCATATATCGTATGCACCTCGGAAAATTAACGGAGCAGAATCAATCGAGGTCCCTGAGCATCCGAAATATCACAGCTGAATCACTGAACAGATAATCTCTTACCACTGTTTATTATTCCTGAGGTTAGACATTGAATGCTTCGAGTGTTTCAATATTCTCTTCGCGACTAAAGCTTGTCACGCTCCTTACTGAATCCTTCTACATGCCTTTTAATTGTCTAGACAATAGAATAGTTAATATGATTGGCCGGAATTAAGTGGGTGCATAAATGCAAGTATGAGTTTCTTCGTGAAGCTGATCTTGAAGTGAAATGTACTCTGCATCCATCCACCCGTAGTTAGCTCTGATATCCAGCCTGAAGCTAAGTGATTACCTCTAGAAACTTGCGTTTTGCGCGATTGCTCGTATTGCTAGTCCTTTTAGTAATGGTATCTTTATTAGCGTGGTCCCCAAACGCGGCTGTGACGGTTGTCATCGGAAAAATTGCTGAAAATCTCCCACACGAATGAATAAAACTTGACTTGACTATTCTACGTCAGCTTTCTTTCTGTATGTAACAGAGATATCGTCCAATGGACAAAAGATAGTGCATTCCACTTCAGTACGGAACGAACTTCCGTGATTGTCTTGCAAAATCCCAGAAGAATTTCAGCGCTTCAAAAATGGCTTGGAAGAAATCCTTTGCTTTCGCCACGCGTATGAAAAAGGGGTTCGTCAGCTAGACGAAAGATTCCATACCACTTTTCAGAGTAATGTTATTTTGGAAATCATCCTTCAGCATATCTGTTCACGAGATTTGCTGTGTCACCTGTTATGATTAAGCATGAAGCCAAGTGCCGCATTCCCACCCAAAACGGCCCCGCCTCTTTTGAGGCCCTTTCGGCTGTTTGACGTGCTCTCACAAACGAAACGTTAATAACATCGGTTTATTTCGTGTCTTTATTTCGAGCCTACGCACGCTTTTGGCCGGCGTTAAATGACTATTTCCGTGTAGACTAACCAAGCTCCATGAGCACCAGTTGAGTCGTATAAGCTATTCACTTGTATGTACGGATTAAAAATACCACCGGTCTATATCGATTAGTGCCAAATTTATGCAAATTTGGTCAGATATGTGCCTGTTTTCGGAAAAACATTCTGACTAAGCAGAAACGTCGAAGTGAGGGGTAAATAGAAGCGAAGTAGCCAACTACCCGTCCGATGCCGTCTCTGTATATCGGAGCGCATATCGATTGACAGTGTTCTTTCCATGATCAAACTCAAAACAGTGTATGCGCGCAAACTACTGCGTATGATTTATTAGAGCAAACTAAGTGCATTGTTCTTTTGATCTAAGTGCAATATCCGTTTGACGGGAAGGGAACAGTTCTTGTTTTTGGTGAATTGATCTATGGAGCACACCAGACAAACTGAACGCGCTCTGGTTGATAGTAGATTATCTTTAGGTTTAGTTATTGAGCTGTAGGTGGCTCACGCTCACCTAGTGGAACTTGTACCAGTGTCACATATACGTGGTAGTTGCAATTGCTTCGCGATAAACTAGTTGATCTTCCTCCGATGTATTAATGAGATCGCTTGCGCTTTTTATAGCTGCCAAATCAGTTACTGGAAGCCAATGCGGGATTCAGGCACGAGTTGTCCCTCAGCTGCACTAGTCGGCAAATCACCGAGGAGGAACTTTCTTGGGGAGTGGACACAAGAATTACGGTTCCTCCCAGACATTCGGCCACAGCAGAGGTAAGTCTTTCATTGAAAATCTGTAAATTTGCGTCCATTTCACATCTCTGAGGCACACTGGTGCGAAAAGTCAACTCCCAACCAGTAGTGTTACCCATTACTTAGAAACCGGGTTACCACACTATTCGCAAATGTCGTTAGGGCTAGCTTGTTTCAAGTTGGAGGGAACTGCGACGTTTTGGAGAATGTTCTATCCATAATGGGAAAGTTATAATAGGATGTATTAACCCGCCCCCTTCTTCTTCCGTTATGAGTAAAAAGCAACATTGTCCCATTAAACTAGATCAAAATCGCCGAAGAGCAAATGACAACTCAATTCAAACTGTTGACCACTATGGAGGGGCGTATTCGGGCTACCTTCTTGGATACAACACGAAACCACGCTTTCGTCAAATACATCCAAGGTGATTTGGCCAGCATTGTGGAAAAGGCGCTTGCAAAGGGTCGCCCTTCATCCAATCCAGGGGGCCAACATCCCCAACTGTGGACAGAGACCAGAAAAAACGGAACAAAAGTTTTGCTGATTGAAACTTCGGGGAAGTGTACTTTCCGTTTCGGTGTGCATCAGATGGTGGAAGTGAATCAGAAGCCCACTTAACTGAACAATCTAATACCATTGCGTTGCGGTGGGATTGGTTTTCACTTCGCGACATTGTCCACAATTACTAGACGCAAGGAGTATTTCAACTGCGAACGTTTATTTGTAAATCCATAGGTATTTATTGTTTGTACTTTTGCGCCATCTGATTTTCATTTTTGAAAGTATAATTTATCTGATTGAATGGTGCTGTAAATATTTCTCGTCCGGTATATAAAAGCGAAACCGAGAAGCTTTGTCACCCAGCTATCAGTCGTCTTTAATTAAGTTTCTCCATTTGAGTGTTTAAATTTAAAGGTCCGTATCCACGGTCGGTTTATATCCGATCATGACTGCAACTATGTTTAAGTATATATTTGGTAAACTACACCTCATAAGTAAATCGGAAGTGTTTCCTACAAAAGTCTACTGCTTCATCTAAATTGGCGCGCCGTGTCATCATGATCCATTGTCCCCTAAGCCAAAAAAGCCAAAGAAGACCGAGAAATTAGTATACCGAATCATCTACCGTAGTTGCAAACATGGACGCAGAACTCGTATCCCTGTGAAACTAAACTTGACGAACTCATTCATTATAAGTTGTCTTTATGGGTGTTCAGCAACACACAGTATCTGGGCTAATATTTAACTGACTTGCCTGGGAAGCGAGAAGTGCCGTCAGTAATGTTTGCTGAGGATCTTAAGCTCTAGAGTGTTGTGGATATCTCGGGAGGTTTTGAGGCAATTCAGGGTGCCTTGCATAGGCTCTGGGAATGGTCTGCCCTATGGTTGTGGCGCATAAATAGGGTCAAGTGCTCTGTTCTCCGAATCGGAGCTGCTAGTCCTCCCATCCGATATGTTGTCCGCGGTAGTGAACTCCCTGTTATCACTCAGCAGGTTGATTTAGGGATCGTATATTCATCAGCAGTTCACGATGGCGACAATTGGAAGAAGGTCGTTGGTAGGAGGTTCCGTACGATGTGGTTTGTCCACCGCTCCTTCGGAGTTTTAAAGACCGAGATGTTTATGAATTTATTCTATACATTCGTGCGATCCCACTAAGAATATTTTATCCGGGCTTGTCCAGCATATCTTCTCCTAGACACAATGGACTTGGAGAGGGTTTTACGAGTGGATACTAGGTTAGTGCAAGGTCTACGGGAACAGACGTATCCCGAACGCTTTGCTAGTTTTGGGATGTACTCAATACATTACCAGAGGATTCTCACCTACCGTATTTTAACGGGTAAGATCGGCCCAGACTTGTCTTGGCTATTTAGCTCCGCTAAGTTATCTGGTCTTCGCGGTCATCCATTGAAGCTGCACAAATCGCGGTCTGATGGCGTTAGGGCCGAAACTCGTTTGTCGTGCGAGTTATAGGATGATGGAACTTGTCTCTGGATTATGTGATTAGGGAGCCTACAGTTAAAGGTGTTGCGTGTCAGTCAGATGCTCTTGGATGGCAACAAAAAACATTTCGTTTCTCCTAACTGACTCAACTTCAGCTCACCTTTTTAGTTACTCACAATTCTCAGTATGATATTTGTTTACTTCTCTCCCTCTCACCTGACCTTCCGATTTTTCTGTTTCCTCTTTCTCACTTTATGTAACCGGCGAAGCAGGGGCTCTTAGTGTAAGATACGTAAGCAGTAACTGGTTTGTCTTTGCATTAGGTGTATATATATTTCACGGTCTTTAGTCAACTCCTGGCTCAACGACCCAGTGAAGTAGCAACACTCACAGGATAATCCTATCGTTCCAATCATAGTTGAAGTTTAAGTTGTGTAACTCAAGGTGTGAACATTGCTCAGAGACCGTTTTTGAACACCAGCTTAGTCGCACCCGTTGCACAAGACTATCTACATACATGATGTTAGAACTTTACGTGGTATGGGCTCGCATGAGGCACTATGGCGCAGGCAGTAGGCTGTTTGTGCGTCACGTAATGAACTGCACTGAGATACTGTTATTGCATTTCTCACCAGCGGAAAACTTACGAGTCGCACTATTGATGAGCGCTGAGAATGCACTAGGGCTTTCTTGTGTTGATGGGAAACCGGAATTTGGCTAACATTGAGTCCAGTGCCGTGCCTCTGTATTTGCAGCTGATCCTCAATTTGGGAAAGCCACGCGCGGTCGCGTACGAAAATCTAGCCTCCGTATAGTTGTCAGAAACATTGGACTTCTCGGTCTGATGCAGCCGCTGAGCAGAAACCCAACTTGCGTGCCGTCTACAGGATCGACGTCCACATTCGCCTCGAGCGTATACTATGACGTGGTTACGACCCACAGCTGCTTCATGTCACAGAGAGTGAAAAAGCGTTCTGGGATTTATAAACACGCCTTAAATCAGTTTTTCAACTAATAGAACATAAGCGTAATGAAATCCGAACCTATTTAATTCCCTCACGGAGTCTCACTCACAAGCTATCGGACGCATCCATCAATAGTATGGGTTGTGGGATCAGGTAAGTTGTGGGTACCGTGCCGACTGAATTGCGGTCTGTACAAGGGAACCGATCTGGTTAACAGTGAACCCCAACAGTTGAGCTCCGAAATGGCTCAGCGGCATTCGAGTAGTCTCAGCACTACATTATAGCAGGTTTACATCTGATTAGATGCTTGTACATTGTTGTTCCCCAACCAAGGCATGGCGCCAGGACAATACCATCCTTCTGTTCAGAAGACACTTGCTCTTCCATCTACACACATTTCACAAGTAGTGTAGTGCATATGTCGTTCACTGGTGCGCCGACGCTCTCGAGCACTGCCGCTAGTAGGTCATTTCACCTGCGAAATGGTTGCGTCATAGCTGGAAAAGTACCCTTTGTGATTTACCTACTCTTCAAGTGCTAACCTATGCTTCCCAGACAGCATGTTCCCAGCAACCTTCGAATGGTCCTTAATATGAGCAATCAAGTGTTTGCTCCACACTGCCAGTGTACCTGTAGTATTTGTGTGACATGGTGTCCATTGTGTGCTTCGTTGTTTATAACGTGGGATTACGTTTCCCCTTTGGGAGTCAGCTGACTACTTATGCTAGCGACCCCCATTGTAATGGTTTCACTGCAAGCCTCAAGCGCTCAATTGTAATATAACTGTGTTCTGCCCTTGACCATTTGCGGGTTCTGCTAAACACCATTTCTCAACATTGTCCATGCCCCCCCCCCCACAAATTCAACAAATGCTAACGTTTCCGGTTAGAGGTCTGGTTCTGTCATGGTTGAGTTGATGGTGCCAGACCCGAGATCATTTTACTTAGTAGGAATCCGTCACCACTAGCAGTTAACCAGATGGGTATGCACAATCTAAGAGACAAGGGAAACAAATGCGTCGTAATCAAATACTTTGGGAAGAAAAATAGTAAGTGAGGTCTGACAACTATGCTATATTGTGGAAATTCCAGAAAACATTTCCATCACATTCCTAAACCTTGTTGACACTTTTTATGCTTCTAAGCAAGGATACTTCATGAGAGACATTCCGACGTGCTCGAGAAGTACCTCGATGTGCTAAGCTGTGGAAAGAATGAGGTATTGTTCGTGTGCAAATTTGCTTTGATCATTCGGCCTGCACGAGAATGACGCTGAGATAAGTTGAAGCGGAACACAGATGGAGATGTCGAACAAAGCACAATGAATTTATAGTGGTTAAGTAGCACTGCTTTACAAAGCACGTTGGGTAGTTTGATGATGTTATGGAAACATAATAATACAACACAATACTTTAAGTATGAAAAGTAGGACTTTTCGTTTGTTCCCCTGTAGTCCTGCAACCCACGTAGTTTCACAGCCGTAAATAACAGTAACAGTAACAGTAATTGAATCTAAGACATATTTCAGAAGTAGCACGGGAACGTGGCGCTAAGTGACAAAGAGTAAGTGGATGAGTGCATCTTCCAACCGTCTTATAAATACTGTTAGTGTCGGTGCGATGACGACCGATTCTGAGAGGGCATTCCAAGGGTGATATACACGGATGGAAACGAATTTGCTGCGGCACTCCAGACGGCTATACGGTTTTGCGAGTTTCAATGAGTGCCTTCTTAGGTTTGTATTGATGCAGAGTTTCAGTAAGGAGTGGCACACATGATGTGGGTCTTACAGAATCATGTAAGCCATTAGCCGATAGCCTCGTAATCTGCGATATCGTCCGCTGACTAGTCCCTGTCGTTTCAGTCTCTGCTCGTACGGAAGATCGCGCATTCCAATGACCTATTTGGATACCCGAAGTTGAGGCTGCTCCAGTCCATTAAGATCTTGTTTCAGCCATGGGTTCCAAGTTTGAATGGTGTATTCGACATGGGGGCGAATATACGCACTGAGCATCTGTCGAAAAATAGTGACGTCAGTTTGTCCGAACTTTCCTCGCAACAGCTTGACGTGTTGGTTCCCAACCTACATGCCCATTTCGGATTGCCTGGAGCAACCTAAGTCATCTTGACCCGGCACTCCCAGATCACGTTTGACGAACGATCGTTGCAGCACATTCGTTCCGACCCGGTATGATTTGTTTCTCGGATGTCATATGGAGAGCACGTTGAATTTACTCCCCTAAAAATTCACTAAATTTAGGGATGACCACTGATGTAGCTTGTCTAGGTCACTGAAGCAAATGCTGGATCCCATTCACCCGAATCCTGTTCCAAATCTTGATGTGGTCGACAAACTGTAGGAAGTTTGAAGTGATTGCCTGTGCGATGTCATTAATAAACTCCGAAAATATGTGTAGACCTAGAACTGAGCCTTACGTCACACCACACTCGACTTGGATGGAGTCCGATAAAGAGCTCCGAACTCTAACCACAAACGGTCCTTGCAAGAGAATATTGGTCATCCAGCTTATACCAGGGTCCCCGTTCCCGCAATACTGGAGCTTGGGAAGGAGTATCTGATGATTTAGAGGGACAAATTCCTTCGCAAAATCTGACTAGATCACATCAAGGTCTTCTCTAGTGTCAATTGTTCCGGTCCAATTACTCCTGCGAGTAATAAATTCGTTGTGCACGGTTGCCTACTTCGGTGCTTGCTGCTTACCACATGAAACCTTGAAAGTAATCATAGAAATGAATAGCCTAGTAGTTGATTGAGTTATGACCTGTAGTGACTGAAGCAACTTGGTTGAGACTACCGCTGCATATGACTGCACCAAATATTAAGACGTAATTGCTGTCAGAACAAGTTTGTGTACTTATTATGAACGAAAACTAGAGTGTTGTTCTGTTACCGAACAGCAATGGTAAAACAAACGTTCACTCAT